ATTTTCTGAAGATCTTTTTTTTTGTTAATTTGGTCTTTTTTCTCAGCACTTAGCCTATATATATAATTGTATAACAAATCATATGACTAATAAGATATAGATTAATAATTTGTATCTCTTAGGTATAGAATAAAATATCTATACCTCATAAACAGACATTTATCTAATTGGCTAATATAAATCAATTGCTCAGGTAACTTATTTATATACTTTAAAATGCTTTTTAAGAATATAATGTTTTACTAATAAAAAATCACTACAAAAGCTATTTTTCACTTTGAAAAAATGTTTATATCAAAAATAATCAGTAACCTCACAAATTTCACTTAGAAGTAGAAGCAAAAATTTTATTACTCATTACTATAATAACTGTATATAAGCATTAAATGCTGAAATGGCCAACTAGAAAAAACTAAAAAAAACAAACAAGATGTAAGTTTTATGTTATAAAGAACTTTTATTGCTATAAATTTATTATGTTAAGAATAGATCTTAATAAAAAAATTGTTGTAACAAGAAATTTCATTGAAGTTGATACATTTATATCTTGCATATTAGATTTTATAGGAATTAGTTTATTAGATTTGGCAGGATACAGGCTTTTTTGTGTGAATCCAAGTGTCTAATATGTCCAATACTCAGGGATGAGTTCGTTGTTAAATTAGTACTTTTGGGTTACAACAGTTAAATTAGTGTAATTTTTAAATTTGTTTGGTTCTTGTAGTGTATTTGTGTTTGTCACCCGTTAATTAAGTTTGGTTTATATCTTGTAGATTCTTTAATGAATTCGGGTTTATTAGTAATAAATATCACATTTATCTACTTTAAGTGTATCTATCTATTCTCTAAATATTTGAAATAAATCTTTTTTTTGTTCGCATTTATTAGTCTATAAACATCTTTATATGAAGTTTTTTTCATTTTCTAATAGTATTAAACCGTTTTAAAAATTGTGCAATGTTATTGGTTAATTATCACGGGTAATCACGGGTAGATCTACAAAAATTAACCAATTATATGAATGTCTTCCTATGAATCTATACCCTACGGATAGGATAAACTATCTACCCCCTGGTACAGATTAAGTTTTCTCTAAAAAAAAAGGCAACTTTGTGATTTCACAAACGTGCCGATACCATTTGACACGATTTTTTAGTTGTGAATTATCGTTATGTCACATATAAATATTTTATATCAGTACATAGGCGGTAATTTTGCTGACAAATCGTGAGAATTTAACATTATGTAATCGCATACGTATGTACGTTTGTGATGCAGCATAAATGTCTAAGCTTGGTTAAATTAGAAATTATTTCACCATGGCATCCTTAAATTTCGTCATTTTTCTTAACAGGATTTACATATTCCAATGGCGTATTACGCGCATAATTAAGTTAATCACTTAACTTTTCTTATCCTTTATTATGCAGGTGACCTCTGCCGCTATAAGTGTAACAGAGGAATAATAAGAATAACGGTGATAAGTTGATGATGTGACGATGTTTAAAGATATCCAAAGACACGTTTAATGCATAAAATTTAGTGTTATATATTTAAAAGAATGATCGATACCATTTTAGCTTAATAAATTTTATAACAATTTGATACGTAGTAAACTCTTGTTTAAACCAAAATTTAACCTGTATTATCTTTTTTTAAGCCTCTATTTACGCTGTAACACCAATAAAGTTTAGTCACAAAAGCTCATTATATTAAATCATTAGGAAGTTTCAACAGCACAACCTTCATCGTATAACACTATAGCGTCATAAACATGTGCACCGAGCTCATTCGCAGCAATAGAGTTTTTAAATACTGCTAATTTAAGGGACGCGCATGTAAACATTGCATTATAATTGGTGTGAATGGCTCTTCCCATACCCTATACGAAATCGACAATACTATGTGAGTATCTTGGAAAAAAAACTTACAATTATAATAATAGTAGTAAAAATAACCTCTAATACTACAAGATCTACATTCTCACACGCCATTGCAAGATCTTCATTAATTCTTATCAAATCAAGACAAGGACTAAAGCTTCCAGTCGCCATAACTGTCAATTTTTTTGATGCCCAAGCTGCGGCAATAAGAGAATCCATTTCAGAAACCGACGATAAAATGTCTATTAGCTCATCAGCCTAAAATATAGTGATTAAAATTGAGATAATTGGAAAATCATTGGTTATTAAATAATAAAATAAAAAAAGCTTACAGTCACATCGTTTGCGGCAGGAAAACTGTTAGCAGCAAGTATAATATCCATGTCCAAAGAAATCAAGAATCTAGCAAAAGGAATTATGCCCAAAACGATATCTGCACCAGAATTATCAACGAATATCACAGCCTTTCTTAATGGTAATTTTGTTTTACTGACAATACGTTGCTTAAATTTATTTGTTTGGTTTAGGTGTTCAGGTTTCTTTATTTTTGTATGAGCCAATTCAAAAGAGAGTTCACCTTTTTTAAGCATATCCAAAATTTGTCCAGAACCCCAATCAAACATGTTACCGGCCAATATGTTATCAATTAAGAAATCTATCTTATCTTCCACATTTTGAATGGAGTCTATATTTGCTAATAAATTTTGTAAACTTTCTAAAGCGGCTTTATTCTCTTCAGCCTTTACTTTTACGAAAATATCAGAAAACCCAAGTTCATGTAGACATTGTTCTCTAAGATTTAATAAGCTTCGTACAGTCAATGCACCATACATAGCCGGACGATCGCGTAAAAGAGTTAAATGTTTCCGAAACATACTATCAAATTTTGTAGCACGTTGTCGAACATCATCGCATGAAGAATTATCACCATTATCATCATTATTGGAGCATTTTACAACCAATTCAACAAGTTTATGAAGATTTGTCTCAAAAAACTCAATCCACGGTGATGGATCTGTAAGCTTTAAGGTGTCGGGATTGTAACTGTCCAAATTATCAATTTTTGGGAACGGAGTTAGCTTGATCGGGGCGCTTTCCAAAACCCCACAAGCGTTAATGCTATTTTTAGTTATCATTTGTGGGTTAGTAAATATCTCAGAAAAGGAACCAGACCGTTGTCTTGTTCCGTGTTTAAGGAAAGCGCCAACTGCACCCAGATACCCTTCATGACGAAGAAAGAGGGCTTTGATAGTCCCCTTTGACCAGAAATTTACCGCATATGATAAAGTATTCATTGTAACTGGATGTCCTAAAAACATATATATATATATTGTTATCTGTTAACATACTCAAATAAACATTTTTTTTTTTTTACCTCTTATGAAACAACCACCAAAATATATTTGTTTTAATCCATGAGCCTGTGCATTCAGATAGGCTATTTGACCAATATTATTACTGAATTCAAAAAAAAAAATTAAGTTAATTGGGTTTTATTTATTAGTCAAAAAAATAAAAATAAAAATCATAAAGTCTACCTGACCATGTATAATAGCGATTTTGAAATATCTTCGCTTCGAAAATTACCAACACTTTGCTTCACATTCTTTTTAAACACTTTTCCCATAGATGAAGCAATCATTGATGATTTCAACCCAATCTTACTGTAATCTGATCCATAAATATCTCCAACCAACATATCCTATAAAAACAAAGAGAATTAATACGATTCCAAATATTAAGCTGTATAATTTCAAATAACATACCACATTAGTATTATCACCATGCTTACTCATTTCCAACATTTCTTTTTTCACACAATAAAGTTATTAAAATAGTGATTCATAAAATTATAAATATAATAAACCATATAAAAATACTCACCATCAAACGATTGAGCACCCGTTAATAATGATAAAAGACCCCATAATGTACCACCTCCCAACTAAAAGGAAGTCATAAAACATAACATTAGGGAATATTGGATAGATAACAAACATTAAACATCAAAAACATTCCCGTGAGAAAGAAAAAAAAAAATACGTTACAGAAGTACCAGATATACGCTCAAACTTATCCGGACCAGTTACTTTCAATATACTGTACAGAATTGATTCAGTTAACAATAGAATTTCGTAAAATAATAAAAGGTAATATGACAATTTTTTTTTTACCTAACACCAGAACCAATATTAACCAACTATTAAATAATAATAACTAATTAGAAATTCCGTGAGGAAAAAAATAAATTCAAAAAAGAAATATTATACCATGTAAGGAAACATGCTGGATGGCGCGGAGGAAGTGTACTCAAAGTGCATAGGATTATGCTCACTATACGTAAATACTTCATATGGAATCTCGGCTATTAAGAAATTCAAACCTAACACAGCATTTCAATGTTAACATAATTGAAATGATCTGTGTTTAAAATTTGGATCAGTCCTACCTTTTATAAGACATTCCATTTCGTCTTCCTTTTCCATTTTAACGCCTTTTATTTTTTTGGTAAACTTGTCGTAATACTTGTATGATCCGCCACCGGTTGCTTTTATAATTATCTTGTCTTGAAACTCTCGTACATTCGGGTCCCTCCTCGCAGCCACAAGGTTTTCGATAAATTCAATACATTCATCTATCTTATCTGTTTCAAATTTAGTAAAATTTAGCCTACCCCCTATCGAAGATGTTGGTTTTCTTGAAAAATAGACTACTTTTGCCAAGGAACCACCGATCTGATATAAATTCTATAAGTGATGATAATTTTTTTTAAAGAGAAGACCTTTAAAGGTATTCACATACATCAACCGCAATATGAGAAACATAGTCCGACTGGTTTGGTAATACAATATCTCGAGTTTCTGGATGAGGTAACTCCTCACAAATTTTTGCTCCGGTAACGTTCATTATTATTATGATTTTTTTTAGACAATAAATAATTCACTTAACAAGACATTTACATAAAATATATATACATATATATATATAAATCCAAACTAAAATGAATTGATTTTGATTGAATAACCTATTATGCACGAATATGGTTTGAGGACGGTATTTATAAGCATTATGTGTATAAAATAATACATCATAGATTATATTATCATTATTAGCTATTGAATTAATAATCATATCACTAAGTCATGTGATGTTTGCCCTCTACCGAAAATTGCACCATTTTTGGTCGATATTTCGTGATCCTCACTATGGCATGTGTACGTACAAACAATTTTCTCCCTTCCAAATTTCCTATAAAATAAGCAGGATTTTTTTTCCAATATTTAAATTAAAGATTCTGTTTTTTTTCAAAAAATAAACACGAACTTCATTTTAAAAATGGCCGTACCCGGATTTTGGGTGGGATTCTCTAATGCTATTGGATGGGTATGCAGTACGCAACCGTTAACGACGTCAATCAATTGTTCAAGTGTCACGTGAACTAACACAATTTTTATATTCAGATTTATTTTTTGGCTTGGTCTATTAGCTTTTATCCCCAGGCTATATTAAACTGGCGACGAAAGAGGTATATTCTAAGTCTAAATTTAATCATTATTGCACGTTTTTTACGTACCTTTCATATAGTGTTCAAGGCCTTTCGTTAGACTTTCTATGGTATAACATATACGGCTTCGCATGTTATTCGGTATTATTCATAAGTCATGATTATCCATTACTTTTTAATATTCGGAGGCTAATTTTTCTCTGTTTTTATTAATAAAGGCATTCAATATCGCATTCTTTACATCCGAAGAAATCCGAAAAGAATATCGCAATAGGAACGATGGAAAAGATAATCTAGTGCAGCCAAACGATGTGTTTTTTTCTGTTCACGCATTGGTCCTAAGCTTTATCACACTGGTTCAAACCTTTTACTATAGGGTACGTAAGTGGTCATCTATTACATAATCCTATTACCTAATATTACTTTAATCTTATTTAGCAATACATTCTAATCTCGTTTTAAAATAAAGCGGAGTGTCAATCAAAAATTGTCACTAGCTGCTCGCATTATAATTACTAGTTCCGCTGTCGGAATAGTATTCATGTTGATCGGAGTTGAAATTGGAACCTTCCAATGGATTGACTTGTTATATTATCTAAGCTACATTAAATTAGCCATGAGCCTTATTAAATATCTTCCACAGGTATCTTTTTATATTAATAACAATCCCCTAATTCTCGATATTAACAATTATTTTTTTCATAGGC